GGGCTGCCCGCCAACCCACACACGACCAGCTCTCCAGCATAGCTGAACGCCAGCTCACCTGCTAACTAGATCTGATAAGAGGACGACTCATGTGGGCCCGCAGCTTATGCGTCCGGCCGCGCGCTCACCTCCGGGGGGTTAATGACACTTTCGGCGATCATCCGCACAGGAATTAGTCGAACAGCCAGCAGCCGTCAGCACGAGCTTACATGATCTTAGCCTGCATGCTTCTTCACAGCGGCCCTAAATGTTACCGCAACAACTGTCGTGACAAGTCCCTTGGCAAAAGCGAAGTCATCCAAAGCCTCACCTTTGAAGCTAAAACGCAGTTAGACTGCTAATGACATGGAACACCAGACAAGCAACCTGGCTGTGCGCTAACTTCGTCTTGTTTGGCGTCGTTTCTCTGAGTCGCACAACCACCGACCGAACCAGACACGGGGAAGCACAAGATTCCATCTTTTGACAGTTTGAACTACTGAGGCGCCACGAGCCCCAGGCCTGCTTACTATCCAAAAAAGTAACATCTTAAAGGGTTCTTCCCGCCTGAGGTGTTACTGGCGCTATTTCCAGTGTTGGGCTTTAACGCGACGGCAGACTAGGGCATCTGGTTTCAGACAACAGATTTGGTATTGTAACAAGCATTGTTCGTTTACGCTGATATAAGCCGGTTATATTTCTCCGAATGGTCTACCTATTTTCCCGACTATATCAGCTGGGGTTCGGTCGTATACCGGTTAAATCGTGAGGTCTTTTTCCTCCCACCTTTTCACATGCAACCAAGAAATCATATTGCTCTGTCGTCTCGCCAGAAACGCAGTAGATTTCCTTCAAAAGAGTGAGGTAAGTTCCGCTAAAAGGACATGGTTCAAGCAGTCTTTGCAACCAGAAATTGCCCCCAGTTGACGCCTGTGCCGCAACCTCCCAGTGGCACATTTAGTTGCGCATCCCAGTTGGTGGCCGTACGTGTCTACGCCCAGCAGGGCAATTAAAAGGGCCCATTTAACGATCAACTTCCGCTGCAATGTCAACACTAATGGTGTTACTACGCAGTCAGCAGACCCACGAAAGATGCGGATTGCGACAACCGCGCCTGTTTTGTCCTAAGCCTGGCTACACAGTCGTTGCAATTCTGATGGGTTACTGCACGCAAACAGCGCGCGGATGTCGACCCGCCGACATCCGCGCGCGCTGAGAATTCGCCTCCCCCCCTCCACGCTGTTCCCACTCAGCCAATTAATCACGTCCAGGTGTGAGATGAGATAACGCACCAGGAGTTTGTTGGTGGTGGTGGTGGTGGTGGTGGTGGTGGTGTAATGCCGATTCTGGTTGAAAATACTTGCGTTTGTGGCAACTGGAAGGAGGGAGTCAGCACATCCGTGGGAAAAAGTGACTGCCTTCTTCAGCCTGAACCCTCCGTCTCGTGCCTACATCCCAAATGAACTACCTATGCGTATATACTCTTTTTACATCAGAAGGGATACGGGTAGCGGTAATATGTAGTCACACAACTTGGCATTACTTTCTACACTACCCTTTCAGCAACCATCACCTCCTGAGTAGGAGGAGGAG